TACTGCAATACTGCAATACTGTAATACTGCAATACTTCAATACTTCAATACTGCAATGCTGCAATACTGCAATACTGCAATACTGCAATACTGCAATACTGCAATACTGCAATACTGCAATACTGCAATACTGCAATACTGCCTGGAGATAAATCCGTTGATTCATATTTTTCTTTCCTTTTTAATGCGGGTGTGTACGTATTAAATTCCCGAGAAAACACCCAGATCTGTTCGAACGGTCTGATGAACAGCAACACTGTACAAGAAAAAAATTTAAAAGAAAAAAACAAAATGGAAGATGTTAGTGGGATTTGAAGGAATTAACGGATGAGACATCTGCCTTCCACAGGAAAAACGCCGTGACTCCACTCAAAATTGTTTCCTTTTTTCCAGCGCTTACTGCTCTATTACTGCTCTATTGCAATTCCTACTAGGCTTCATTTTTTCATTTTTAGCTCCTAATGGTGTGGCCGAGTTGCATTAAAAAAATGAAGGATGAATATTTGTTGGGTTTTTCGTAAAACAGCATTTTGCTAGAGAAAAATTGGGAAAGCGTTGGATGGAGATACGGCGGTTTTACTTTGAACGGCAGACGATTTCTGTTATTGTTTTGCTGCTCTGCCACGAAGCGAGTACTTGTACTATGTAGTGGCGGTTTGGCTCTTGTCTTTCGAAATTGGACTGCATTTTACAATTTGGAACTGCAATATCTGGCTCCGTTCAGAAACGACGTCAGCATCATTGGTTTCCCTACGCAATTGAGTGATTTTACGACGGGCTAGAAATTGCAGTGCGTAAGCAATTTGATCAAGATGGGTACCGAATGACCAAATTAATTCACCTCTCAATTTGAATGACGCGCGACGGGCGACGCACCGGAGACGCTCGGAAGCACTACTTCGGCAAATTGTCTGAGATTTAGATCTTTTCTCTTTAAGCCTATCCAGAATATGCTTGATGAGATAAAAGTGCAAATGAAATTATCCAAGAGAGAGAAAAAAAAATTGGAGTAGAAATATTAATAAGTTTTCAAGAAAATCGTTAGTTATGAGGTGACTTTGATAACGTCCGAATGTTTGAGCGACGTTTTTTTTATAAAACGGTAGCATGGACGACGGACGATTCGCGGAGCCTTGACATAGATTCAGGCGGGGATCAGGTTTTTACGGGGGG